TTGGCGGCGATCGAGGGGAAGGGAGGGGAAGGGAGAGGGGTCGTTCCTTTTTTACAACCGGCAAAAGGGAATCAATTTTTCGTGGAGAGAAACGTGGTTCGCCTCTCTCGTGTCCCGGGACGCGGAACCGATTGTTTCCGTTTTTTGCGGGAAAGAAAAAGGAACGGACGCAGGATAAAAGCGCCGGTCCACTTTCGCGAACCGGAAGTTGGAGGACCCGGTCCAAGGTTAGTCGAGGAATCGATGTTTACCGAGTTTACTCAGCAAGGGGTTTCCATTTCTTGTGTATTTTTGGAGATGGAGTGACGCGAGTTGAGGAGGAAGGGGAGCAGATATATATATATAAAATTGTGACTGTCCCCGTTGAAACGATGAACAGTAACTTTCTGTCCGACTTTTTCGATAAAGTATTTATATAGACTTTCTTTTTTCGCGGATAGAGATTCCTTTGTACTTTCAGATACGGAAAGAGAACACGGATGCGACTTTTGCCGCTTTTAAACGCGTCGTTTATTAAATTCTAAAAACGAAAATCTATCTTATAAATATGTGATGTTATATGTGCGATAAAGTTATTGTATCGTATTAAATTGTGTTAATTAAATACGCGATATTTTTTGGTATGTATCCGAGATAATAAAATTTTATTCGAAGAAACGACATTTCATGCGCCAAACAAGTTAGGCTTTTTCGTTTTTGACGATTTTCATAATTTTTCCCCCTTTGCTTGCCCGAAGCATAATTTAATTAGAGTAAGTGGACTTGCATTATTTTCAAAATAAATAAGTATGCGATGTCATTTCCTAAATGACTTTTCGAAAATATGAGTTCATTTTTTCTTCCCAGAAAATGAAAGAAAATTTCAGCAAAGAATCGTGGATTAAACGTAAACAAATTATCAAATTTAAATGATGACAGGCATCAGTAAAATGGACACTAATTTCGCAATCCTATACTTGCGATGTTCCGATCATGGAATCATGGATCGACTGTCTCAATTAGAAATCTCTCGAAATTAGATTCGAGTATAATTACGAAAGAGCGTTTCTCGATTCTTCACTTTTCATTTATCTCGATCGATCAATTGCCATTATTCGCAAAAATTTTCAAACACTCGAAACTCGATCGAGACCGAATGTTTGTCCGACATTTTTATAAAATTTCCCATTTTCCTAATTTTCATCGCAAAAATTTCAAAAAACTATATTTTGAGATACAGTTCCCAAGTCTGAATTTTATCGATTATTTTTATATAAATCGTACACGTGAGAATTTCGTGTCAACGTTGAATCGTGGGATCGAAATAATAATGCGAGATTCGAACGTATAAAAGCGTATGAAAGCGATGGAAAACGAGACGGTAGACAGAAACTGGAGTAGCTGGAACAAAAGAGGGGGGACAACGAAAACGTAGCTTGTGCAACGCATCGACCAATGAAAACTTAATTCGTTCATTCAATCTGCCTGATGATTCGACCTGCGGGCTGATAAACCTTGGCTGACGCACTCTGCCACACATTTTATCGACGACGAAACGAATCACGACGAGGAAGAGAGATATATATCCACCGAACTGGGATAAAAGAAAATTGTTAGAACGATCAATCGGCAAATGGAGATCTGACAATTTGACCAAATTATTTTCTGGAAAATTCTTCGAACACGATTCAATTCACGATAGCTATAAATCTTCTGGCATGAATTTATTTCTTTTTTCTTTCTTAAATCAATCTATAGGATCTGCGATCATGGAATCAGACATTATTAGATCGCGTAAAAAAATCATTACTTACAATTACATTACAATATATAAAATATAATATCATCAAAAGTACGATTCGTTTCCTCTATCTCGCTGGAAGAATTTCTAACTAAAAAATACTTTAACGGTGTAACACATCATCCATGTAATTCCATGTCTTCTTGATTAATTTATTCTTGAAAACAACAACCGTTTAGATTCGTGTAAATTAAATTACGCTACGATATCTGGCCGAATGAAACGATTAAGCAAGAATCGGTGTATCTATATACGTGTACATATATGTACATGTATCGGTATATCTGGCTTGCCAGAGATCAAATTGATGGCGGATGGTAGGCCGGAA